AGATAATTTATACGCATGAAAACCTCCTCCCCGTCTCTCAAAGCAATTAAAAAAAAATTTTTTTTTTCTTAAAACTCACTAGGAGGACAGCTTAAAATAAGTAAACATTTGGGTGGTCTGTTGATATTCAGAAAGCACACATTTGAAATTAACTAATTTGCCTTCTATGAGAAACAGATTTTAACGCTGTTCAAAGAGATGCAGCTTTGAAATTAAGTAGCACAAGTTGCCTTTGCATACCCTCTGAGTTGCTTAGGTTGTTGTTCTAATAGCAGAATTTGCTAATGAAGCGACAGAAGTTGCCAGAAGGAAGGAAAGGGGCTGGGCTGTGAGCGGCCTCCAGAGAGAATTTCTTTCTTCCTTTCTTTTTGGTACTAAGGATTGAACCCAGAGGAAGTTAACCACTGAGCAACATCCCCAGCCCTTTTTATGTTTTCTTTAGAGACAGGGTCTCGCTAAGCAACTTAGGACCTTGGTAAATTGCTGAGGCTGGCTTTGAACTTGTGATCCTCCTACCTCAGCCTCCTGAGTTGCTGGGAAGAAATGTATGCACCACCACACTTGGCTCTAGAGAGAGTTTCAAGCATCAGCACCAAGTAGGCACCTTGTAGTAACCATACATTTGTCTCCAAACCTGGTCCCTGAGGAGGCTGACCCCTGGAGACTGCGTCCCTGGGGCTCCTTGGCCAGCTTGCTTCAAGTTGGGTTTCCTAGAGGGAGAGATTGACTAGAAAGTCAGAGGAAGGAGGGAGAGAAGCTGCAGTATTTCTGCCCTCCTCCCTCAAATTCAAGTCTCCTATAGGGAAGTCCCTCCGCTGTATCTTTGGCCCATGATCATGGCTGTGTGGGTTCGCTGCTCGCTGGGTACTTCCTTACCTCTTGTATGTTCCCTCAACTACAGCCACACCCCCTTCACTGACAATCATCAACCCAACCGGCTTTGGGGCTGGCAAAGCGTCCTTCCTGTGTGCTGACTGGATCCTGAAAAATGGCTCAAGTGGCTTTTCCGCAATAAGTCTGAGGAATACCCAGAGGTGGCCTCCTTATGATGATCCCCGAGATGAATCAGAAATCAAAGCCAAGGAGTTGGCGTTGACTGAATGGTCCATGACCCATGCTCAGCGCTGCCCTTGGAGAATCTCAGGACTGGAGGTGGAGCCAATATCTTAAAATAACATGACCAAAGCCTACCTAGGCCCAAAGGAAGGAATCCTTTAAGTGTTCATCTTAAATGTTATTTTTATTAATTTTTGAAAGCAATATTTTAATTAATATTTATTAAATAAATAGCATTTAGTGAATATTTTTAATATTTAATAAATAACTAATTTTAATAAATATTAAATAATATTTAATAGTAAATAAAAATAATATTAAAGAATCTTTTAAGGACACTGGGTAAAATGGACGAGGGGATATTTTAGCAAAAACTCTTCTGCATTCAGTACTCATTGTGAGTTTACAATGAACTCCTATTGCATCCAGTGGCAAAGACAACCTTATCAATCACCACTGGACACTGATATGTGAATATCGGAGCGAATGTATGATTTTATTTTATTAATATATAGTTCCCATGCCATAACATTTACCCTCTGAGATACAAATTCAGCAGTTTTTAAGGTATTCAGAGTGTGTGACCACCACCACTGTCAGATTCCAGAATGTTGTGGCCATGAGCAGTCACTCCGGTTCCCTCCCCTCCCCTCCCCATCCGGGTACCACTAACTGTCCTCTCTCTGTGGATTTGCCTACTCTAGCATTTCCTGTGAATGGAGTCCTACAGGATGCAGGTAGCCATTTATAACTGGCTTCTTTGACCCACCATAATATTTTCCAGATTCTTCCTTGTCATAGACACAGTTCTTCCTCCATCACTTTTTATAGCTCACAGTAGCTTCATGGACCTTGACCCAGGTATTGAAAATTTGAACTCTTAATTTTTATGCCACCTTTGCTTTGTTGTTGGAAAAACTAAGAATGTTGCCAGGAGAACAACGTGCCCAATATTTAATTTAGACCCTACTTAAATCAGATTCCTACTGGGTGCATCTGTTTAATCCCTTTGTCAACAAATAATTTCTAAAAAGTCAGAAACATAATTCTCCCAAATATATAGCGAGTACCTGTCAAGTATGGCTTTAACTCAGTAACAGGGGACACAGCAAGGGGACAAAGCTGGCTCAGAGACTCTACAAAGACTGATATAGATTGGAGTCAGTTAAAAAGCTGGAACAAAATGGCAAATTTACCCAGCGGCTCAAGAAGGAGGCTAAGGCAGGAGCATCAAAGCCAGCCTCAGCAAGTTGGCCAGGCCCTAAGCAACCTAGCCAGACCCTATCTCTAAATATAATATAAAAAGGGCTGGGGATGGGGCTCTGTGGTTAAGCACCCCTGTGTTCAATCCCTGGTACAAAAAAATAAATAAACAAAAAAAAAAAAAGACAAATTTGGATCCCAAACTGGTTAATTTCCTTCAGAGCAATAAAACTGTAACCTGTAGGGTTCTCTTTTCTTCTGGCCCAAAATTATTTGCATCACCAAGGAACAGAAATCATTTGCAATTATCAGTCTTCTACAAGTTAACTTCTAACCCTACAAAGTCTGGGTTCTAATTAATAGCCAGTTTTAGGATGATCTTCCTTTGTTTCAGAGCAGCTGTCCCCCAAACTGAGGCAAACATTCTCTCTCTGTGGCCTCCTATGTGACAGCCATGGCCTTGAACCCTGGATATGTGGCTAGAGTGACTGAGGAACTAAATTGCTCATTTTATTTGATTTTTATTCATTCGGGTTTAACTTTAAAGAGTTGCCTGTGACAAGTGACTACCTATTGGACAGCAGAGTCCTGCACCATCAAATGACCCTGATGTGAGCTCCTTAGAACAACCAGTATCACTTTGAAACGGCTCAAAGAAATCCGTTGGCCTGTTCCCAAGTTTTCTCTCCCTTATGCTTCCTTTCATTGGCCTTTATTTTCTGCTCTGCTGTGGGGAGCTGAAGGGACCGATCTGTTTACAGACTGCTGCCCGTTGGTGGCTTCCTTCCAATTCTCAGATCAGGCTGAGGACGCAGGCCCGGGCTGCAGGCCGGGTGAGCCAACTCAGCTGCGCGCAGGGGCTGACGCGCTCTCCCTGGGAGCCCGCAGGAAATGTCACGGGAAAAGCCTGCAAAGTGGTTCTCAGCCCCTTTCTCCATCGGACTCGCCAGGGCGAACTGCTCTTAATGTTTTGAACTTGGATATTATTAATGGTTGGGAAGGGCTTCTGGTAAGAGGATTCCCGGGTAAATAGGTCATTAGATCCTAAGTGCGTATGGATGGAGTTCCCAGAAAGATCTCCACGGAAGTGGGTTCACTTAACCTTAAATATATTTCTATGTTTACGATATATATTTTATACAAGATAAATATTGGGTAATATATAATATATTTCATCAAATAAATATTATATAAAACCGGTATTTATGAAATATATATATATATTATAAACAAAAAACAAACAAACAAGAGTACAAAGAGGGACCCTACAGAATGGGAGAAATATTCATATATATGAATATTATATATGAAGTATTCACATATATATACATAAATATGCAAATATTTCTACATATTTTAAATATGTACATATAAATATTAAAATTTATATATTATAAAATATATATTATGTAATATATTGTGTGATATTATAATATATATTTTATAATGTATATGATATATTTAAATAATATATATTTTATTATGTAAAAATATACTTTTATTATATAATATGTTTTATTATATATAATATATATTTTAATATATATGAAATATGTTGTCCTTATGACAAAATAATACAAGAGGGATTTTTTTTTGGGGGGGGGTGGTATCAGGGATTGAACTTAGGAGCACTCAACCACTGAACCATGCCCCCAGCCCTATTTTGTATTTTATTTAGAGACAGGGTCTCACTGAGTTGCTTAGGGCCTTGCTTTTGCTGAGGCTGGCTTTGAACTCTCGATCCTCCTGCCCCAGCCTCTCAAGCCACTGGGATTACAGGTGTGCACCACTGCACCAGCACAAGAGGGATTTTTGTGGATCTGTTTTGGAAGAACTATTTATGATATGCCGATGGTTTAAAAATGAGTAATTGAGACCCTGTGTAGGACCCTGATGTACCACACTCAGAACGTGACAGATACACTAATTGTGCCTTGGGAGGATTGCCTGCTTCAGGGTCTCCAGCTGTACCAGAGCATTTCTGCCTTTGTTAAATGAGAAGCTTCTGGTTGCTAACTCCTAATGACTTCTCAGGGCTCTGGGGATGGAGCTGTCAGTGGCTGTTTTCAGTGACTCCTCCGGGTCACCATCCCAACAGTTGAGTTTGACTTGCCCTATACCGAAACTTGCTTGCCAAGAGCTGAGTGTTCTGCCCTGGATTCACCAGGATCCTGTCTCAGAAGGGAGCTGACGGCACAAGGATTCTGAGTTTGGAATCCGTTTGCCCATCCTGGCAGCCTCTGTGACTCTGATTTCTTGAATCTTCCTCTTTCACATTCCCTCAAATAAGCTGAAGCCTTTACTGGAAGGTCAAGTAAACTTTGCTGTAAATCACTAGAGATTCCAGAAAAGGAAAGTTTAAAAAGAAAACCCACATTGCTCTCAGTCTTCAAATTTCACTCTCCTGGTTGCTTAAAAAAAAAGGGGAGGGGGTGTTGGTGGGGGGTGCTTATGGAAACACATAAAACACACAGAATTAGTTGTTTTTGATTGTCATGGCAAAATGTCTGACAGGTACGCGGTGCTCTTCGGAAGTCTCAGTCTACAGATGGCCTGCTCCATTGCTTTGGGCTCAAGACAAGGCCCGACATCACTGCAGAAGGGTGAGGTAGAGGAAACTGCCCGGCTTATGGCAGCCAGGAACCAGAGAAAGGGAGGGGGGGGGGAAAGGGCCACAAGGGAGACACACCCTTCCAGGGCAGGACCCCAGTGACCCACCTCCCCCAGCCACGCCCCACCTGCCTGCCTTTACCACCCAGCTGGTCCATTCACCTAGGATGGACTGATCAGGTGACAGCTCTCACAATCCAGTCATTTCACCTCTGGATATTCCCGCATTAACCCAGGAGCTTCTGGGAAACACCTCACAGCCAAACCCTGACACTTACATAAACCAGATTGTCCACTGGTTTTCCTTCAACTGAACGGATCTAGCTAGCAGTAGGTTTACTGTTGTTCAGAAGTTTTCTGATGTGTGTCCACCTTTCCGCCTTATTAATCACAGTAAACACGATGACTCATATATTACTTGTAATATCATATACCATACTATGCCTGTAACTCATCATCCTTCTCGCTTGAGTTCTCAATGTAATTTACCTTTGCAGAGATTGGAGCTGGAACCGAACTTTCTATTGTTCCATTACATCCCCTTGAATGTGTTGGAGAATCTTTTGAAATTGATTTTTATGTTATCATCTCATTTTCTATATACGGAAGTTTCCTTGTGAGCCAGCCGAGGTATAAATTGCTTTAAATGAATGATGTATTTTAATGCTCATTAGTGTTTTCTCCTCTGCAAAGATGAAGAAACTGAAGCCAGGTGCAGGGGTGCACACTTGTGATCCCAGTGGCATGGGAGGCTGAGGCAGGAGGATCGCAAGTTCAAAGCCAGCCTCAGCAACTTAGCAAGGCCCTAAGCAACTCAGGGAGACCCTGTCTCTAAATAAAATACAAAATAGGGCTGGGGATGTGGCTTAGTGGTCGGGTGCCCCTGAGTTGAATCCCCAGTACCCTCACCCCCCCCTAAAAAATGAAGAAACTGAGGCTCAGATAAGTTAAGTGACCTTTCTGAGATTATTTAGTAAGTACCAGAACTGTGACTGAACTCTAAGTGTGTTAAAGTATACAGCCTTGCACAACATCTCACCAAAGACTTGAACTTTGGGGACAAGTTATTTGACCTCTCTGGGCATGTATATACTTATGTGCAAAACTCGGGTAATAGTGTCTCCCCTCCTAGGTCAAGGTCCTAAGATTATGAAAAAGTATTTATCAACTATAAAATGAAGAACACCTGTACTGTGCTATTGTTAGTATAGGTTCTTCAGCAGTGACATCTCTAATTAATTACACTCCGGTGAATGGATATATTGTTCTTTGATTATAGGTGGAAAGCCGCAATGTCCACCACAGGGAAGATATTGGTACAAAACCTCCTGGCTTTGGACTTGATCCAGTATGGCCTAGTCTTTGAATTACCAGGAGCTTAGGCAAAGGGACTCTGGCTAATGACATCGCCAACTCACAGCCCCTTACTATTGACCTCAGTTTTGATTCTCTTGCTTGTTTGGCAAGTGAGCAGACCTTCAGTAATTAAATAATTTTCTCATTTGCCTTTAAGACTACTACATTGTTTGTTCAGGAGGCTTGAGGTCGAATAGTGGATAATAATTCCAAGGGGCTCATGGTACTCTTTTTTTCAACTTTGGGGTAATCTTTCTGAACACCTTTGTTCGTTCTATTCCAGCTATTAGGATGTGAAAGGGACTTTTTGTGACTTACGATTCTCTCTTCTGAATCAGAGCAAAGAAGACTAAAATGGACTTAATGCATATCTGTTCTGAATTGGCCCTATGTTCCCTGGAAACTAATGCAGTGTGTCCACCAGCAGAGATGACATTAAGAAACAACCTTGTCTTCAAAAAGCAAAAGCCCTGCCAGGGTGAAACGTTTTTCCAGGGACATTAAAATTCAACATTTCATAGAATTGTTCAACACCATATTCACATTTAACTTTTAATTTTTTTTTCAATCTAGAATAAAAATGCTTCCCTGGGTCCAACAAGGGCTTCTTCAAGGAAAACTTGCAAAGACGGTGATTAAGTCACTTGGAGCTGAACTTTCAGGCAGCTTTGTTGAATATTCATGATGTTTAATTTTTAAATCTCTCTCAAATGGAATTCCATGGAGACATGGTGCAGCTAAGAGGCAAATCAGTCAAACGTAACCACAGACATTATCAGAGTGATCCGAGCCCCCTGCATTCCCTCGAGAGCCACTTCTGAAGATACAATGATGGAATGAATGCGCATGACCAAATAACTTACAATTAGCTAGAACATACTGGAAGTGACTACTTACATAAACATTTGTAAAAATTAGATGTCTGGTTCTGGCTGGGTTGAGTGGACCCATCACCAGGGAAGACATATTCTTGACTCTCTCAATAGATTTGACTTGTCTCGCTTCTTTTCTAGAAAATACTATTCAGCAAGCAGGAAAAAAATAAGAGAGAGACAGAAAGGTTTAACAGTCTCAGCACCCTGAAGGAAGAGGAAAAACTTCCTTTGGTTCTCATTTTCAAAACACCTGATCCCACTGTCTGAGGCACCCTGGCAATAAACAAACAGGAATTGCAGCTGGATGCAATGGGGCATGCGGCTCAGGAGGCTGAGGCAGGAGGATCGAGAGTTCAAAGCCAGACTCAGCAAAAGTGAGGCCCTAAGCAACTCAGTGAGACCCTGTCTCTAAATAAAACACAAAACAGGGTTGGGATGTGGCTCAGTGGCTGAGTGCCCCTGAATTCAATCTCTAATACCCACCCATCCCCGCCAAAAAAAAAAAAAAAGAATAATTATTAAGCAAAAGATAAAAACAAATAATCAAAAAACTCAACCCATTTAACTGGGACTTCACATCAGGGAGAGGTCACATGAAATATATGGTCCAAGAAGTATTTACTAGTATGTTCTCCCTGTCACCATCACAGACTTGGACTTTAAAATCCCACCCACGTGCTTACTACACAATGATAAAGCCAAGAGAAGATAAACAAAACTGTCCATCTGTTTTCATTTACACAGACATTCAACTTTCCATATTAAATATTGTAATCTTGCTGAATATATAGCTAACATGCCTCTTTGGGGAAGAGAATTCCAGAAGAGAAAACCTAAATCCTTTAAAATGGCAACATACCATCCAAAAAAGATAAACCATTGGAAATTTGATGAAGCTGCCTTTTGTTTCTTTTCTGAAAGGGGAAGAATATCTTGATTGTTTTTGCTGAGTATAAAAGCAAGCCCTACTTCTAATCCTGTTTCTCACTGATGAAGCCTCCCAGGATCTGGTAGAAGATCGATCTTATCATATAGAACTGCCTTTTGAATTTGATGGATTCAAAGAAGCTATAATTGAAAAAACTTAACCCAACTTTCAGAATCTACCCCAAATATCTCCATGGACTCTCTGGTGCCTCTGAGTTGTAGGCCTGGAGGTTTTCTTAAAATTTTTCTTCTCTTTCTCTGGACTCTGTGTACACATCAGAACGCTTTGTACCATGAAGAAACAGTATAAATAAATCATGTAATAAAATGACCTTTCCCAAATCACGTTTTGGCTAGAAGATGCTTTTTGCAGCTGTCTCCTTGCTCGGATTGCAGAGGCCAGTGACAGTGGAACTTCCACAAGCCCTGCGAGGAGCCGGACATGCCGTGGAATACAGTTCTGGGGAAACTCAGTTCAGTCTACTTCCTTTTCAAAGTTTTGGCAGATCAAACATGTATACTGCCCAGGAACCCGGGCAGAGACAAACAACATCCTTATCTTTGTGCTTAAAGTTTGCTTCTGGACAGATGAAAGTCGTCCTGGGAGAAGGACCTTGAGAAAGGGACCCTGAGAAGGATTATTTATTTATTTATTATTGTCTTTGTTTATTGGCCTGGGTAAGATGGCTGATTGTGTTGTCCTGGGAATTGCTGATCACAGTGACATGTAAATAAGGAAACGGCTTAGAAGGTGACATGGGACTCCTGCTTTTCTGCTGTGCTTCTGCTCAAAGATGGGTCAGGCCTGCGCAGGCCAGGAAGTGAGATGCAGCTACCCCACGGGGCTGGGGAGGGGGAGTTCCTGTTCTGCAGGTGAGAGGGGGAGGGGGAGTTCCTGTTCTGCAGGTGGGATGGGGAGGCTCTGTCAGACCACAGTGCCTACGCCACAGCATTTCTAGTCATTCCAGAGCACAGCCTCGCCACGTTCATTAGCAGAAAGATTGGAAATCACAGAGACAGAAATATCCAAAGGGGATTGGCTGAGCTGTGGAGGACCAAAATGCTGCCATTTTTTTTATAAATCAATTTTCTAATTTGGTTCTAGCTGGGCTGTTGTATATCATGGGGAGTGGGACAAGATGCAGAAATTTAAGCTACAAACTCTCACAGCAGTTCTAGAATGTTCCGCCTTCTTTGCTTTAACTTCGGAAGTCCCTAAGCGGTATGAGCTTAGGGTCCCCAGGCTATTGAGGAACTAGGACCCAAATAAGGAATGTCGAATGCACCCTCCAATAGAATTGCTCCAACTCCCTTGCCTTGATGTGCCCCAAACTTGCTTATGTATAAAAGCAAAAGCCCTGCTGTGCTCGGGGCTCAGACTTTGGGAATTATCCCTCTAGGTCATGGCACAACTAATAGAGGGTTGCTTCCAGATCTTGGTGTCCTGACCCCCATTTCCCACTACAAACCTAGAGATGTATAATTCTAACAGCTGAACATGAAGACATCATCGTGAAGATAAAGAGGATTTTTCATGGGATCACGTATCATTGAGGCTGAAACCAACCTACAGTGTTAATTTTTATAAAACTAACATTTTAAAATGAGAAAACAAATATAGATACACCGTGTGCAGCAGGTCCAGAATATCACACGCTGGCTGACAGCTCAAGTGCTCTTGTCTTGACTCTCATCTTACTTCATCCCTGCAAGTTTTCCAGATCTTTCCTCTGCCTCACTTCAACTCACAGCCTCTACCTTGGTACAAAAGAAGGAGTGGGCCGGGTGAAGTGGCCCATGCCTCTCATCCCAGTGGTGCAGGAGGCTGAGGCAGGAGGATCCCAAGTTCAAAGCCAGCCTCAGCAACTCAGTGAGGCCCTAAGGAACTCAGTGTAGACCCTGTCTCTAAATAAAAAAAAAAATACAAAATAGGGCTGGGGATGTGGTAAAATGCCTGGAGTTTGATCCCCACTATGCGCCCCCCCAAAAATAAGGAAAAAGAAGAAGGAATAGGAGGAAGGGGGAGCCGGAGGAAAGACAGAGACATTTTTCTTGACTTTTCAATGAATACTCTCCATTTCAAGATGGTAGACTGAACACAAGCGGCGACCTCCTCTTCCAGCTGTGACTCTTCCAGAAATGTGTACCCAACCGTGCTACAAGACCAGAGAGGACTCCCCAGGGGCCATCCACGGGGAGGAATCCCTGCAGGTAGAAATTAGGTCAAATCAGACCAAGGAGTGAAAGGACAGCCCCACACGTGCCTGCAAAAGTCTGTTGACGCTCTTCCACGTTTCAATCTCCTTCTCTCCACCCACGCTGAATCGGGGTCCAGTTCTTCCCTCTACCATGCCTTAGAAGTACACTTACTGTTTATTCCTATAAATTTTAAAAAAAACAACCTTCTTTTCATTATTACCCCCAAGGAAATTTTGAAGCCATATTTCCCTATTCATCCCCAATTCATGATTTTGTTGTTGTTTCCTGGGATTGAATCTAGGGAGGTTTAACCTCTGAGCCACATCTCCAGCCCTTGTTATTCCTTTATTTTGAGACAGAGTCTTGTTAAGTTGCTTAGGGCCTTGCTAAATTGCTGACACTGGCCTTGAACTTGCAATCCTCCTTCCTCAGCCTCCTGAACTGCCGGGATTATAGGCGTGTGCCACTGCGCCTGGCCCCCGTGAAATTTTGGTACCACAAATGTACTATATATCTGTTTATGTACTGGATGTAGATCTCTGCTTTATAAATACAAAGAGTAAGAATTTTTTGTCCCCATGAACTGATTTTTGCCCTACTGAAATTTTTGTGGTTTGCATCTAGAATGTCCCCCAAAGACTCATGTGTTCAGAGGGAGGGCTTTTGGGGGAAACACTTGGATCATGAGGGCTCTGACCAAATCAGTGGATTAATCCATTGATGACTGAATGGACTTCTGGGGTGGAGGACCTAGTTGGAGGAAACAGTTCCTGGGGGCGTGCCCTGTAAGGATTTCTCTTCTATTTCCTTCCCTTGTCTTCTCTTCTATTCTCTTGTCTTCTCTCTCCTCTTCTCCCTGCACACACACCCCTCTCTCTCTCCTCCCCAGCTGCCATAAGCTAACAGCTTTCGTCCGCCATGATGTTTCTGCCTTGGAGTCAACTAACCCTGGACTAAATGCTCTGAAACCATGAGCCAGTATAAATCTCCCCTCCTCCAGGTTGCTATCATCAGGTATTTGGGTCCCAGCAGTGAATGTTGTCTAATGCAGGCGTGGTATTGCCCCCTGGATCGTGTATCTCATATACCCCAAGGATCATGGAGCATCTTCTGAAAGGAGCATCTGGCCCTTCTCATGCCGTGCCCTGGCAGTGACCAGCATTCTACCCCTCAGCGTGGCCAACCCTGGGCACATGATACCTGTGATCAGGTTCCTTTTTCCTTAAGTGCCCTAGGGGAAAGCTTCCCAGGGGAAAAATCCAGTGGCCACTCATGGCCTAGAAACTTTTACTCCTGTTTTATTTGTCCTCCTCGGGTCCCTAGAACATATTTTGCCAAGCTGATTACCCTTAGATAGACCACAGAACATGGCTGTTAGTATACAAAAGAAATCATCATAGTTGACAGTCCCTGAGATGGCTCCAGGGATCTTTTCATCTTGCTCTCTGAGCCCTGTAGAGTCCCTTCCTTCTCTCTGAGTGTGGGCCAGACTCAGGGACTCACTGGCAACACACAATTTGTAGAACTTAGGTGACATTGCTTCCAAGGGTTATAAAATAACTGTGGAATCCATCTGGGCATCTCCCCCTCTCCGTCCCTCTCTGTCTCGTACGTGTCCCACACACTTTTAGGGAGGCTAGCTTCCAGGGCTACGAAAATGTTCTCATGGTGTGTAACTGAAGCCTCCGACCAAGAGCCACACGAACGCGCCACGAAATGGCTCCTTCTAACTCGCGCACGCCTTGGATGACTGTTCCCCGGTTTGTGCCTTGACTGAAGTCTCAGGAGAGATCTGAGTCAGAACCATCCAGCTACATTGGCTGCAGATTCCTGACCCACAGAAACTGTGAGCTGGTAACATGATTGCTGTGTTTAGCCCTTAAGATCTGGAGTCACTTGTTCTGGTTTAGATGTGAGGTGTCCCCAAAAGCTCACATGTGAGACAGTGCAGGAAGGTCCAGAGGAGACTTGACTGGGTTGTGAGAGCCTCAACCCACTCAGTGAATTGATTCCCCTGATGGGATTAACTGGGTGGTGGCTGGAGGCAGGTGGGTGTGGCTGGAGGAGGGGGCATTGGGGGCGTGGCTTTGGGGTCTCTATTTGTCTCTGGAGAGTGGAGTCTCTCTCTGCTTCCTGATCACCATGTGAGCTGCTTCCCTCCACCACACTCTTCCTCCATGATGTGCTGCCTCCCCTCCAGCCCCGAGGAATGGAGCCTGCTGTCTATGGACTGATACCTGTGAAACTCTGAGCCCTAAAAATAAACTCTTCCTCCTCTATAATTGTAAGTCAGGTCTTTAGTCACAGCAGGGAAAAAGCTGATTAAAACTGTACCTAATATGTTCAAATCAATTTTCAAGTTTTCTTTCTTCCTCCACTATCACTTGCCGACTGGTCCACCTGTTCGGTATCACTTCGATGGCAATTTACTTTAGGTAGACATTAGACCTAGGACTGAATGCTCTACCAATCCCAAAGTAAATACCACCCTGTCACATTCTCATTTGGTTTCCTGTGTTATTGGTAAGAGAAGAATGCTAGATTTAATGGAACAAATGTAAGTTCAAACGAGTGAAGCAATCATATTTGGTTGTCTCTTTTTACGTTGATATTTCAGAAAATTTTGCCTAATAGTTCATTTTTTTAATTTTCAGAACAAATACCTGATAGATACTTTATAAAGAAGAGATTTATGTATCTCACAGTTTTGGAGGCTCTAAGTCCCACATTTTGGCCCTATCTGTTTGGCCTCTGGTGCAAGGCCCCTTGACTATATCAAAACATGGCAGGGGAAGAAGGGGCCAAAGCCCACAGATGGCCTCACTTTAGAACAACCCACTCTTTTGAGAACTGACTGCATAAGACCAGCACTAATCTCCAGGAATGGCACCCCAATGGCCTAATCCACTCAGCCACCTCTTCAAGCTCCACCACCTCGAGAATCCAGCCCCAGGGCTTGAACCTTTGGGGACAAAACACATTTAAACAATAGTAACTATATAATAACACTTCATGAATTCCACTCTCAACAATCCAAAACTTATTTTCAAGAGCACAAGTAACAATAAGTGTTGGCGAGAATGTGGGGGAAAAAAGGTACACTCACACATGGCTGGTGGGACTGCAGATGGATGCAACCATTCTGGAAAGCAGTACAGAGAGTCCTCAGAAAACTAGGAATGGAACCACCATTTGCCCCAGCTACCCCATTGATTTATACCCAAAGAACTTAAAATCAGCATACTATCGTGATGTGGGCTTATAGCAGCTCAATTCACAATAGCTAAGCTACAGAACCAACCCTTCAACAGATGAATGGATAAAGAAGATGTAGTACATATACACAATGGAATATTACTCAGCCACGAAAGAAGAATGAAATTATGGCATTTGCTGGTAAATGGATGGAACTGGAGACTATCATGCTAAGTGAAATAAGCCAATCCCAAAAATCCAAAGACCAAATGGTTTCTCTGATATGCAGATGCTAACTCACAATAAGGCAGGTAGAAGTTTATTGGATTAAACAAAGGGAAATGAAGAGAAGGGAGGGGGATAGGAATAGGAAAGACATATGAATACACACCATGTATAACCACAAGAATGGGATCCTAATTAGAATAAGTTATACTGTGTGTATGTATAATATATCAAAATATACTCTACTTCCACGTATATCTACAAAGAACAAAATTTTAAAAAGCAAGTCAGAAATTATAATTATTTATATAGAGTCTGAGGAACTACTTCCCTTGGTGATTTTTATAAAGAGGTAGCTAAGAAAAGTGTGGCATTAAATGTCCCCCAGTTTGCAATAACAGTGTTTTAGGACAGCAGTATCTTGACCTACACCTAAACAGGAAACTGATATATTCAAACGGCCTATCTGTTCATCAAAATAGGCCCTGTGAGGGCTCCACATGATTCTATTTTTTCCCAGTTAATATAATTTTATTCTTTCCACCCTCTAGTTTGATTGATTCATTCATCCATCAAATATCAAAAAGATAATAAGACTTTCTTTTTTTACTCATATTTTAATTAAGATATGTTATTAATACAGAATTGTCTCTCCCTTTACTAATTCTAAATTAGCCAGTAATTTCTTTGAGACCATTTGAATCTCTTTCTTGTCTTGGACCTACTAGGGTCAGACTGGTTTGATTGATTCCTGTAGAACTTGCTTCCTTTAAAAAAATTATAATAAAAGGCAGTTAAAATTTTTCTGTGATGAACAAGAAACCTAGAAGATAATTTCCCCCAGCTATTTTGACTGATTGCATCACATTAATATAAACATATTTTATGGAGCAAGAGTGTGAACAACGACTAATCTGGTTGAATGAACCAACAGGGCGTGGTACCTGGACAACAGCTACCGTGTCCCATGCTGTTCACCCTCAGCGGGCACACGTCCTGGTGTGGAGCAGGCTAGGTGTGGGTTGATACCGCAGGAGGAGTACCTTCCTTACCTACCCCAGCTAGAGGAGGGAAGGTGAACAAACGTTTTTGCAGTTTTGCAGGACTAGGGGTAGGTTGCACCCCTTACAAGCGAGTTATCCAAACCCTCTTGGTCCTGGTTGACTCGTTTTCAAAACAGAAGGAAATCACAGCTCCTTTGTACCATTGTGAAGTGCAATGAAGTAATGCTTAATTCTGAGCCCGGGGCCTGACCCATCGTAAATGCATGACAAATAGCCAGGTGGTTATGGAGCTGATAAACTCGAACCTTCTTTGTAAGAAAGAGGTTACTTCGGGTAGCAATCACCAAAGCACACTTTGAAGAAATGAATTACAGTTGAGTGCCGCCAGACACTGACAAATCAGTCATCTAAAGACCACATATATAACAGTGGTCCCAAAAGATGACAGTGCCTAGTGACGTTGGAGCTGTCTTAGTTCGTGTAAGTACATTCTATGACATTTGCACAAAAATTGAATGCCCAGATGATGCTTTTGGGGGGTGGGGGTGGGGGTAGGTACTAGGATTGAATTTTGGGACACTC